GAGCCAGGCAGACCAGCGTCATCGACGTCGCACCGCCGTCCGCTGCAATATGAGATAAGTACTGTACGTTGCGCTCTCAGGGTTTCACCAGCTGATGTGTGTGGAGGCTTCTGCTGTCTGCTGGGTCGAGAGTACAAAAGGCCTCAAGTCCTTCTCTCTCACTTGATGGAAAGATGTAAAATACTCCCACCTCCCACAAAAAGAATATGATACGAGCGGAGGTCAACGGGAATCTCACCACAAGATTCCGGAACGGCGTGCAGCCAAACGGCTGGATATGCGCAAGGAGCTAGTGACTGAAGCGCAAGCGCCGGAAGCGAGGGAGGGTGAGAAATGCAGTGTCGAGAAAAATAGTATATCTGAAGGAGTTGAGCTACAGCTAGTAAGTTGGCGGGACATCACGACGGTGCCTATGACTTTGCCTCGTCGCTTGAACTGCTACCCTTCTCGCCCTCGGCTGCTGCTCCTTTATCCTTTGCCCCTTCATCGGTAGGCTTGGCGGCATTCTTGAACATCTTGCGCATGGAATTCTTGCCAAACTCGCCGACGGACCGGGGTTCCGGCCGCCTGATAGCGGCCAATTCCTGATCGGAGGGTGCGGCAGGCCAGGTGAACGAGTTGCCGTTGGCCAAGGTGACAATGGCCTTCTTGTACTTTGGGACGCGGATCTCGCGCAATCCGCCGGCCTGCTTGGACTTGTGTCCGAGGTAGTTCATGGTGCGGACCTCGGCGACCTCGAGCTGGTAGATTTTGGAGAGGTACTGGTGGATGTCGAGCTTGTTGATGTGCTGCGGGACCTTGAAGGCAACCTGGTGGGCAGGCAGGTCGGGGGCGTGCAGCATGGTGAAGACGACGTTGGGCAGGTGGATGCGGACGCGGGCGGCCATGGTTGGGATCGTGTGATTGCGTTATATGGTGGCGTTGGCATGTGCGAGAGTTCCATGGACAGTGATATTTGACGCAATTGCGAATCATGAGCAATGAAATGCAAAGAGCAGAGGAGGGATCGGCCACCGTCGGATCGGCGGACCCAGCTGATCCGATCCGATCTGACGCCACACGCCACACGACAAATCTTGATCTCGATCAAATCATAACATTCGAGTGCTATATATTGCATTGCCGCCGAGCCAAAATCAATGCATTCGAAAACGCTCAGCGCAATCGAGTCGATGCAATTGCTTGCAGATACCACCAACCGTCACTGCTTTCCCAACCCAGTTCTCGCATCCCCACCCCTGGTCAACCCACCTCACACCCCGCGCGATCCTCCCCCACCCCAAACCCAACAAGCCAAGCCATGGACGCTGCCGCCCGCCGCCGCGCCGGCTCGGCCTCGACATCTGCGACGCCCTCATCCCCGCGGTCCGCAACCCGCAACTCCTCTTCGTCCGTCTCCTACTCGTTCCCGGGCACCGCAAACAACGGCTCGGGCAACGGCATCCCGCTCCTCTCGCCACGCGATGCCGATCACGAATTCTTCCAACTCGCCAACGTGTTCACTGGCAAAGAAACAGAAGACAACTGGGAGCGCCGAGACGATGCCCTGCGTCGACTCAAGCAACTCATGCGCTCCGCGCACGTTGGCCAGGACCCCTGGATCCACCAGCCGGCCATTGTCGAGGCCGTGGTCAATGGCGTGCGCAACATCTTGGATCCCGTACTGGCCGCCACACTCAGTTTGCGCACGGCGCTGGTCGTGACTGCGTGTGCCGCGTTGAATGATGTTGTCGTCACGCTCAATCGCAACCTGGATCCTGTCGCAGAGTCGATGGTGTTGACCCTGTCCAAGCTCATTGGGTCCACAAAAAAGCTCGTGCACACGTCAGGAGCACAGTGCTTGGCATCCGTGTTGGTGCATTGTTCGCTCAAACAGCGCATTGTCGACAAGGTCGTGGCGCTTGTGGAGGACAAGAATATGCAGATCCGGTCGTATGCCATGGCGTTTGTGTACGAGGTGCTCTTGTCTGCATCGACCGCAGTAGCAAATGGCGTTCCACAAGCGGCCGAGGTTGGAACGCGGTTTGCTGATGCGTGGGAGCGCGCCATGAAGAAGGGCATGTCCGACTCGAATCCCGCCGTCAGGGAAGCAAGTCGCGATTGCTATTTCGAGTTTGAAAAGCTGGCCATAAACCGTGCCCATGCGTACGTATGATTTTCAAACCACCTTTCGTCCAAATCGCAGAGTATCTGACATGATCTTGACGCGTTTATAGTTTGGCGGCGAAACTAGACGCCAACGCACGCAAAGCGCTCGCCAAGGGCCCCGGCAAACCCCGCCCATCCATGCTCGCCGTCACCTCCTCGACCATGTCAGTCTCCTCATCACCCAGCAGCAGTGGCAGCTTTTCCGCGCGCACCGTCGACTCGACACCGAGCCGCACCACCTCCCTGTCCAACAACCGCACATCGCCTGCGTCGCCCTACATTACCACATCACCACTCGCCTCGTCCGACAATTTCCCACATTACCAGCAGCAACAACAAGCACCACATTCGGCAGCCGCTGCCGCGGCACCCATTACCGGCGGCGCGTTTGGCGCCGCCATCAGCTCGTCTTCTTCCTCACTGTCCCATCCCATCACACCTACAGCGCACCCAAAGGTGCGCACATCCACTGCGTCGCCCTACGACGGATCCGCATGCGACGCCGAATCCGACAACCCCACCACCACCACGGACGACGATGTGAACGCAATCGACGACGACGACGGTAGCGACAACTTGGAAATCTGGCTCGAGGCATTTGAAGACGCGCTCGCCTCATCCGACACCACCACGGCCTTGCAATGCCTGACGTACATGCTTCACGTGTTCTCGGAAGCCATTGGGGCGGCGTCGTCGCCCGACGACCATGTGGCGGCGCGCGCATCCGAGCAAGTGATGGATGGCATGGCGCCGCCGCTGCGCAAGGCACTGCTGATTGCCATGACGAGCAACGACGATTCGCTGGCACTGGCTGCACTGGACGATCCGGCGCTCTTGTGGGCCGCGTTTTCGTCGTCGACCGATGACGCGATTGACTTGGTGGTGGCGCTCACGGATACGTTGGCCATGTTTGGCAAGGTGGTCGAGCCCATGGTCGCAGAGTGTCATGCAGAGGCGGTCAGGTCTGTGTTTGTGGAGGATAAGGATGCATGGGTCAGAGTGTTGGGTGGGGCAATCGAGAGTGCCGGGTGGCCAGAGGGCGCAAAGGTTGTGGGCGGGTGGATTCGACAGGCTGTCGGGGATGACGCTGTGGATGCGTGGGCCGAGGGCAGGGAGGGCAGCGAGGAGGATCAGCGGATTGCCATGCAGATCAAGGAGGCAGACGAGGCAAAAGCGGATGCGGACGGGCGAGAGGCGAACGACGCCGGTCTTCCGCCACGTGCGCAGCAACAGCCCCAGGGCGTCACGTCGTCCGTCAGGTCGCTGGTCGTGGAGCCGCACATTGAAGATCTGGATCCGCCGTCGCCGTCACGCAATCGCGACATGTCACCAGTACGATCAACGCCGAGTCCGTCGAAACTGGGCATGGCCAATGGCCGGTCGTCACTTGCAAACGATGTGGATCCTGTCGAGGATTTGGTGCTTGCCATGGCTGACGCACGCGTGTCCATTGTCGAACTGTACCGGTATACGGCGCACGTGCACGCGCACGAGCCACCGCCCGTGAATCAACTACTTGACCAAGTTGGGCAATTGTTGGCATATGCAAGACGTGATTCAGATGGCGATTCCGGCAGTGCTGGTGGCGATGACGAGAACGACGTGTCGTCCGAGTGTGTACTTGCTGTCCACCATGTCCTCGACCTCGTTCCGACAGATCGGAGAGCAGACGCGCTAGCTGTCGTGTTACAGCACGCTCGAGGCGTCTCACCCACCTCGCCGCTCGCCTACTGGTTTGAACAATGTGTTGCCGACTTGGTTGGAAAGGATTCTGCATCGCTCATTCCTGTGCTTGCAAAATCAACTGCCGAGGCTGCAAAAGTTGCCGAATCAAGCATCGGAGGAAACGATGCGGCGTCAACAGATCCGCCATACTCGTCGCTTCTCGGATACCTCGTGCGAGCCATTGACTCGCTCAACGCAACCAGCGGATTGGCACCACCAGCCGCCATCACGGCCGCGCGAGACGAGCTGGAAACCGTGTTGCGCGTGTCGATGCGGAGCCCGTCGTCGTTTGCACGATTGGCAGGTGTCAAGCTAGCCGTTGCGCTGACGCGGTGCTTGGGGGACGCATTTTTGGATGACATGGTTGGGTCACAGAGATTGGATCCAGTGCATCGCAGGCTGGTCCTTGGATATGCAGCACGAGCAAATGGGACAGGCGCAGCCGTGGTGTCTGCACCATAGAGTCTTGGGCCTGTGCGTGTCACAGGGCCATCTTGAGTGAGGTTCAGTTTTGGATTGGATTTGTTTTGCTTTCAGCTACATACATGTACTTCCTTGTACACATGGACTTGCGTCTTGGTACCTCGTCGCGAGCCAACGTGTCGAAATTCATATTCATATGCACTTCTTCTTCCTCGCGTCAGCATTCGGACATCTGCAACCTGGGAAATGGGGGAACTGGGCCAACCTCATTTGCTCGGTTGACAGGTCCTCTCATTCAAATTCGACTCGAACATCACGATGAACAGTTGAGTGAGTGGTTTCGTTGCTCATTCCCACAAGCGACAATGCAACTCAGTCGGTCCCACATCGCTTGGCGACCCTATCGCTTTGTGCTCTCCGCCTGGGGTGGTGGTAAATACATAACCCTATATGGGGTGGGATAAGACGCAGTTCAGCTAGTTGTCGCTTCAACCCATGCGCAAGTATCGCGCTCTATTGCCGGGCGACGGCAAGAAATTTACTTTCACCGAGTGCGACCGTACCCAGACACTGGAAAGGCAGCCGCAGGTTGACTTTATGCAGGTACAAAAACGTGTGCTGCACCGTCCTGTGTACGTAACCCTGTGTGCGAGTATGAAAAATCCGCCCAACAAAAACCGCAAGTCCTGGGACCAGGTGCAAAACGATCCCGCCAGGATTTGAACCTGGGATCTCCTGATCCGTAGTCAGGCGCCTTAGCCGCTGGGCCACGGGACCGCGTTGTTCCCGCTGCAATTCTCAACAGAATATATAGCAAGAACCACATCAAGCCACATGACCAGCCTCAATCACATGATTTTATTCGATACCGATCATGTTTCAGGCACTCCAGATCATACTTCCGACACTTTTCGCGAGATGGTAACCAATCACGTGTGCAAGGCAGGCACAACAAGCACGTCGTCCCTTTTTGAATCAATCCAACCTCGCCCTCAAACCCAAGACCCCATCGGTAATGTGCCATAAATCAATGCTTGCTTGCCACCACCCTCTCTCTCAGCAATCACAATGCCTCCCAGCCCCCGGCGCAATGCTTCCCCTAGCCCCACTCTCTCTGACTCGACCCTCACTACCGTTCCGGCCAAGCGGTTCGCCGTGACGGCCCTTGACAAGCAGCGGCAAGAGGTTGAGCGACTCATGAAGAAGCCCGATCAGCATGTCAATATTGACAAAAAGGTCCGCACGCTTCGTGATGAGCTGACACCTACCCGTGATATCGTCACCAACATACAAGGTTTGTTCTTGTATTCTTCTGTTGAGTTTTTTTTTTTTGTTCGCAAGCTCACAGACTGGCTTCTCCCCAATCAGGTTCCTCCGCTGGTGCCGGATCTGGTGACTTCCACGTCTACCGTGCCCATCGTCGTCGCGAGCTCTTGCGCCAACGGATTATGGACGAGGACCTTGCTGCCGAGCAAGCCGAGACCGAGCATCGTGCCAAGATGGATGCCATCAAGGCTGCCGAAGAGGAGCGCACAGCCAAGCGCCGTGCCAAGCGCCAAAAGCGCAAAAAGAGCAGTGGCAGCAAAGGCGCTTCCAAGAAGGATGACCGTGACGGGTCCAGCGACGAGGACGAGGACGAGGCCGATGCTGAACGCCCCTCGTCGCCCAAGAAGCTGCGCACCGATGAGCCCGAACCTGAAGCCAGTTCGGCTTGATTGTACATTCGTTTTTTTTTTTTTTCCTTTCATGGGTACCTTACCGTCCCCTTTCGGTTCGCTGCAATACATTGCAGTCGTTCTACCCGTCTCGCCTCGATCCAACCCGACCGACCGTGAGCTCTCTGCGTGCTCTCAGATGCTACTTTCTGCCCGCTTGCCCCCCCCCCCCCCTCCAATTTCCCCGCGCCTTTTGGCCCTTCGACTCATGGTCTGATTCTCATTCGTTGTCTCTTCGTGGCAAGGATGGGCTTCATGCACCGCGAAGGTTGCGGGGCAGATCAATTTCAAAACGCTTGAGTTTCGCTACCCCAAAGACTGTTCAGTGTTTTGTTGTAGATAGTAGCCGAGCGACATTCTCATCTCACTCTTCCGTCTTTCCCACTGCTATTCCATTCCTTTGCCTCCTTCCCGTCTGAAAATCACCGGAGCTCGCCTTGATTGCCTCCATGGCGTCTCTGGTAATCTCGACTGGGGATACTGGCTGTGGCTCCCAATCCTTTTCGCGCTGGGGCTGCCTTGTTGACCCACGGCCCTTGCGCTCAAAGCGGGGCCCTCATTCCCCACTTCCCTTTTGGCCATGATGGCTTGCTGCTTTACCTTGCTCGACGATTCGCAATGATGAAATGCCTTTAATTTTAACTAGAGTCAAGCAATGAGCTAAATGCTTTGATTTTATGGCACTTATTCTGATGGCGATATCGTTTTTTCTTTTGATTGGGCTCCTTTCTTTGCCCAATCTCTTGCTATTTCCTTATCATTCTTGACTACACCACATTTCTACAAGTATGTGCGAGTTGAAAAGTGTTAGTGGCGACGGGTCATTCAGCCAGCCATCATTCAAGCCAGGCATAAAGCTGGCTGTCAACAGGGTTCGTCGTGGCAAATCTGCCCAATACCTCTACATCTTGAGCCAAGTGGCAGACGTTTCCTGGGCTTGGCCTGACTGCCATGGTTGTGGCGGTGGCAAGTCAACGTTCGTATTAAACAAGCTCCGGGTCGGATGATGAAAATAGCAGCGGCGGCACATGCGACGATGCGATGGTCGACCTCAGAAGGAGCATCAGAGATCAACGGGCAAGATGCAGTTGGCAGGTGATGGACTGCGAGACGGGAGTCAGATTCCCATCCATCATTGGCGAAACCATCAATCGCTGGTCGCGTTGATCTCCGCATCGCGTGCCAGCATGAGTGTCAGCACCAACAAAAAGGAGGTGTCGCCGTCCCTCGCTATCGGTTGGTTGGTTGGCTATTGACTTTGCGCCATGACCCATCTGCGGATCCTGCAATACACACTCATCATGCCCACCATGCCCATGCTTTCAAACGCGGCTCTCCGTCACACTGCTCGTCCAGCCGCCGATGTCCTTTCACGCGTCGCCATGTCCACAGCCACAGCCCGTGCCCAGCAGCAGCATCGTGCGCAAGCATCTGATGTTACCATTGGCCTGATTCCTGGCGACGGGATTGGAGCCGAAGTGATCCCTGCTGCTCGCCAGGTCCTTGATGCCCTGTCGGCCCATGTCCGTGACGCGCCGACTTTCCGCTACATTGATCTCGACGCAGGGTTCGAGACGTTTCAGCGGACGGGCAATGCCCTGCCGCAGGTGACGGTGGATCGCCTGCGAAACGAGTGCACGGGTGCGCTCTTTGGTGCCGTAAGGTACATATACATCTTCATTTCGGTTGTGCTCGATGTCGTGCTTGATTCTCACATCGCCTGTCGTTGCATGTGCACACAGCTCACCGATCCACAAGGTCGAGGGCTACTCGTCGCCGATTGTTCGCCTGCGCAAGGAACTGGATCTGTACGCCAACGTTCGCCCAATCACGCAGCCTAAAGCGTGGACGGCCCGCGGCACCCAAGCGCCATGCGACATGTTGATTGTGCGCGAGAATACCGAATGCCTCGTACGTCCTTCCTCTCTGGCTGTGGAGGCGAGCGTATGTTGATTCTCACCTTCGCGTTTCATTCGCAAAACCATACAACACAGTACATCAAGCAAGAACGCCTGGAAACAGACCCGGCCACGGGCCTGCGCACAGCGTACGCCACCCGACAAATCTCGGAACGCGCCACTTCACGCATCGCCCGCCTGGCCTTGTCCATGGCGCGCACGCGCGCATCGACCCGTGGCCCAACCCATTGGTGGCACCCGCGGCCACCCACGCTCACGGTGGTCCACAAGTCCAACGTGCTGAGCGTGACGGACGGCCTGTTTCGCGAAGTGGTGCGTGCCGAACACGCGCGTGGCGGGTTCACGGATGTCCAGGTCGAGGACCAGCTGGTGGATTCCATGGTGTATCGCGTGTTCCGCGAGCCAGATGCATTTGATGTTGCGCTGGCGCCAAACTTGTTTGGCGACATCTTGTCGGATGCGGCCGCGGCGCTTGCGGGCAGTTTGGGCGTGGTTCCAAGTGCCAACGTCGGGGATGCGTTTGTCATGGGCGAGCCGGTGCATGGCAGCGCACCGGATATTGCTGGCAAGGGCATTGCTAATCCGGTGGCGGCGATTCGGTCAGCGGGCTTGCTGCTCGAGTTTTTGGGTCATGCGGCGTGTGCAACGCGGATTTATGAGGCGGTGGATGCTGTGATTGCACAGGGAGTCAAGACGAGGGATATGGGTGGCTCGCACGGGACTGCGCAGGTGACGGCGGCAATTATTCGGGCATTGGAGGAGCAGAGCTCGAGTTGAGGGGTGTGCGGAAAATGAATTTTAGCATGCACTTGTTGGGCATCCACATACATCAGGAGACATTGGACAAGATCAATTGAGGCTAGAGTTTAACAAGTATACTTTCCCATTCACGACTTGCCCGAGACTCCATCCCTTCAGATCTTCATATCCGCCGCGGTAATCTCACCACCCGAAAAGAAGGGCATCCACCGCGACGTCCGCGCCTGATACACTCTGTACCACGGATACTTGCTCGCCGTCAAGTATTCAGTCAAGGCCGTCGATCCGTTGAAAAGCATCCACAAGTTGACTGCGCCAGCGAGCGAGTACCGAACCACGGGCACAATGAGAATGCGCGTTGCGCCACGGCAAAAGATGAGCACCGATCGCCAGTCTTGGGTAAGGGCGATTCCCGAGGAGACGGGTGTCGGGAAATTGAGCTTTTGCGAGGACGTGAAGGAGACATAGACCGAGGCGACAGCAAACAGGTGCAGGCAGAACCACAGGCTGATTTCGCCAAAAAAGTTGGGGTGACGCGCTGTAAGGTGATGTTGAAATGAGTGAGTGTGAACAAGAGAAAGCGTCGGGCCAGGCAACGTAGACTTGACGCACAATACTTCCACAACCCGGTCGTCGGGAATCCCACGCTGTACGGGAACTCAACCTTGCTCAAGTACTCTGGCTGATTGACATCCACAACGGGTGCCGCCTCCTTTTGCTTTTGCTGAAAGTTGGACTGGACCTTGGACTTTGTCAACTCTTGCGCTTGGATTGACGATGCGCCCAATCCGACAGACGGCTTGGACATGGACACCCCCAAGACGCCACGGTCAGACCCTTCCTTTGCCTTTGCGAGCTGGCGATACTTTTCGGTTTGGAAGGCCCACTGCTGGTTATCAGCAATGGTTTCCAAGGCAATGCAACCGAGCGAGAGGATCAGGGCGCCGTGTCAAACCAGTTCCAAGGCGTGTGAATAGCATTGTCCTTGTTGAGAAGGTGGAGCGGGCGGTACCGCACATTCCATGCTTCCATTCTACATTGATGCACGGAAGATAATGTGAGAATGAGCGCGCCAATGGCGATGTCGATTCGAGGCATGAAACGTACGAGATGGGAGCGACAATGGCCCAAAGAAGCACGCTCTGGTACCCGGAAATGAAGACGACATTGAAGATGTGCCAGGCAATGTCACCGGCCAGTCCGTACGGGTCTTGATGAGCGCGCGCAGCCACGGCCACCGGTAATCCTCGTGTCCGTTTTGGTAGCCGCCCTTGCGTGCAAAGTTGAATGTCAACGCAAGCCCCAGATGGTGGTCACGGCGGCAATGGCGGTTAGGCGAGCATCCTATTCATGTAGTAGTTGACACCGGGTCAGCCTCGTCAAC